CGTTTGCCTTATCACCGGATTTATAGTGTGGAATTATGAAGCTAGTTTTCCACTCATTAGGGTAAGTGCCAGTGTCCATAGATATCGAGAAGAATTTAAGAAGTAGTAGGGGTATATCACACCCACTGCTTTTGAAAATTATAGAAGAAAGGCCATCTGGTCCCGTGCTAGTGGAAGGTTTCAGGCTTTTAACTGCTTGTTCTATTAATTGGTCGGTGAACACGATGCTTCCGAGTAAAGAGCTAGTAAGGGGGCCGGTTTCACCAGGAATGTGCGTTTCTAAACTGAAGTTTGCAAACCACTCACTGAATATTTCACAGATGGTGGCAGGCACATTGTAGATAACTTTGTCATGAAGTAAATAGAGGATGTCCCTCGTCGACTGCATTCGTTTTTTAAGAAGTGTTGTTAAGTTATAAACTTTGGAGGTGCTTTCAAGTGCCCTTAATTCTTCGTCGAGGTCCTTTTGAGAGCGTTGGCGCTTGATAGATTCAAGAGACTCATGGATTGAGTGCAGTAGTGATATATCCTTAGTGGAATAGTACTGTTTCTTCAACTTCCTTAACTTATTGCGGCATGCCCTCGGAATGTAATCAGCTTGGTGTCTACTTAATTTCACTACCTTCTTAGGAGCAACAGTATCTAGACAAAGGATAACATTCCTGTAAAATGGGGACACTACAGTCTCCAGGGAGTCAGTGGTAAAATATTCATCCCAGTGACAGAGTCGAATGAGTTCTTGGACTAATCCCCAGTCTGTATGTTTGTAACTACGACAAATCAAGCTCCCTGAATCCTGTTTGTTTCCTGTATTTAGTGGTGAGAAAGGCAGAGAGCAGAGGACCATTCTATGGTCACTACCGGAAAATCTGTTACCAACATAGGTGGAGACTGGGACTGTGTCATGACAAAACACAAGGTCCAACATGTTGTCACCACGAGTAGGTGTCTGGACGTGTTGCTGCCATCCATAACAATCGATAGTGGCAAGTAATTCGTCGAAGCGTTGCGGGCCGGAACTACTTAACCAATTGACTTCCGGAAGATTGAAGTCCCCTGCAATTATTTTGTAATTAGTACTAAATGATGAGGCGTGTGCGAATGATTTAGCTAATAACGCATCAGTTTCTTTGGTTGAGCTTGGTGCTCGATAAACACAGCCTATGAGAAGCTTGTACTTATCTCCTTGTAAGACGACCCAGAGTGAATCAGGTACCTCGTTCAGTATTTCATCTTCCACCTTACTGGCTACGAATGAGTTATGTATATATATGAGACATCCTCCACCACGCTTGCAATCTCTATTTGCACGGTGTACAGTGTAATCATCTATGCCTATATGCACATCAAGTACAGAGTATGAGCACCATGATTCAGTAATCAGAGCTACAGTAGGCTTGGCGATAAATAATAATGCCCTTAGTTCAGATATCTTATTGATTAAGGAACGTGCATTAATTAGCGATATCGTGAATAAGTCACGGGATACTGCAAACTGGCTTAAGATATCACCATAACCTAACTCTGTTTGTGCGTCAGCAACGGAAGAGTTTATGAATGATACGGGGGTCGGACTGGGTATCTGTACATCGGGGTTAGAGTGCAGTGAGGTGGTCCTAGGTGCCATGGGTCGTACCAGTGATTCGGGACACTTGGAAAATTTACCATTTGTTCCTGGATATAAGGATAGTAGATGTTGGGCCTGGGTTGACGGTTAAAAAGCATAGCATCAAACGGTCTACCCATCCACGTGCTATCCATCATACCGGTACACACTTTCGTGTTGGTTTTATAACTTAAAGGAAATTGAGAGGGAAGGTGCTTTGGTTGTAAGACGTTGGGGGTTTTGGGGCCTGACTTTCTATAAGGTGGAGCATACTGAAAACCACCAGATATACTTGTGTTTCGAGAGGAACTTTTCGTAAGAGGTAAGGGTTTTTTGACAGTCTTACTCTCAGCAAGCTTATTGAATACAAAGTATTCTTCCCCATCATTAGTCTCAACCCGGCGAAATTTGTTCATTCTGGTGAGGTCACCACGTTTGGGTAAGAATTTCTTAGAACAGCTTGCAGCAGTTCTACCTATTTTAACATCTTTCGGTGAGACGTTATTTACATGGGTACTGGTATCTAAATCAGTTCCTAGTTCCATCGCCATGCGTGGTTGTTGTGTGGTTTGCCGAATGCTAATGTCAGCATTAGGTGACTGTTGCTGTGCACGATCGTTTTTGGGTAATTCTAAGCTAGAGGAGGTGGCCAGGTTATTACTACGCATTATTCTGCGCTGACAAGGTGTTTTATCCTGAGCTATGGTTATAGACTTATAGCTACTGTTCAGTCTTAGGTGATCCTGACATTTAATAAACTTACTAGAATCAAGGGAGTTACTGAACTTAAAAATAATGGGACAGTTAGCCTGGTTAGACTTTTTACGAAGTCTTTTGCATTCACATGGAACACTGGCCATGCCGCAACAAATCAGGATTTTGTGTTTAACAGTCTTCAGAGGAAGAGAGTGTGGGACATTGTAAATTATAGCCTGGTGAGAAGAGGTTATACGCTTCATCACCTCCGCAGCCAAGCAGTCAATCAGATTTTCAGTCTTATTTAGGGTGTCTGGAGACATTTTAGGATGCTTTCTTAACATACAGGCTATTGGGTCTAAATACGAGAGCTTGTTTTGAGTAACATCCAGTAAAGACTTAACCTGGCCAATATCAGAACGGCTCTCCGTGATATTTGAGATTGGTAGTGACATTCTATCAAACTGACCTAATTTTTCCCGAAGTTCATTTACTTGCCTTTGGATATCTATCACAAGGAGGTCTAATTTACAGATCTCAGAGTTCTCTAACAGAACATCTTTCATCTGTATTACAGGAGTGAGAATTGCACTCAAGCCATTTTGTGAGCTAGTAGTTAATGCTGTATTACAGGGTGGTAATGCAGTTATAACCAAGGTTGAGGCACTATCTAAAACAACTGTGTTTCTACGAACACGTTTTTTTGAAATTTGGACCATAATTTCAAGGATTATATGACTATAAGCAGTAAAAGAATATCAGAGCAAACACGTGCAAAAATGTCACCAATATTAATAGGGATCTACGCGACAGAAGTACTGCCTAGCAGCTTTTAGAAACCACCATAGCTATTGTGTAATGTTTTCATACTATGAATGTCGGATTTTGTTGTAAAGGCTAAAGTTTTGTCAAAATCAGGTGTTTACAGTAGCTTAATTGTCTCCGGACTGGCCAAGTTAAGATTATTCAACGAGACCGTCAGTTTAAGAAGTGCAGCTGACTGCGAGTGTCCCTATCACGTACATAGATAGCCATCACTTATTGTTTGCAATCCATACAGTTCTTCGTTACATTCCCCATGACCTGTTATTCTTAAAAATCACTAGTTTTAGGTGCTTTCTACGCACTAATGTATGGCTTTAGTATCTTTATTTTCGGCCCCAAGTTTGAATATAAGTCTGTTATGGTGGCTAATTTACTGTAACCTACTTGCGCTCAAGTACCGATTGTATGCGTTTCACAATATCTTGATGGATTTGGCGACCAAGCAGTTGTAGAAAGAAAACTCAGTTAAGTAAATTCGATCTTCAGAGACAGACTTGAAGTAATAATAAAACGAAAAATACAAAGTACGTCACCTAATACGAGCATTTTAAAGAAATTATGTTGACAGTTCGTCTATGGGTCACACTATTCGTGGTAGATAGCACAAGTGGGATTTAATTTGTTGATTTCTTGGCTGTAGGTTTGAAGCATTTGTCGCTATCAGACTTAGATAGTTGTTTGTGGCCTCTCATAGAACGGGAGTTCTTCTGAACTTGGGACATGTCTGATAAGTCTACACTGTAGTGGACCATCATCGTGAACTACTCCAGCAGACCTTCTGGAAGGCAAAAGTCACATAATCCAGGTAGGGCGAATGTCGTAGCACATAGTCCAAAATATGATTATTTTAAGTTATTTATTATCAGATTACATACATATCAATGCTGACCATTGATAGGAGCGTGGGAATCCCTATTAACGCATGTGGAACTTCCTTATTCGTACCGATACTAAACTTGCGCCAGCTTTGAACTCATCTGCCTATTATTCGCAGCCTCAGGCGTTTTGCATCCGCTTCAGCTTTCACAAATATTCATCCCTGATTTAATGATTCGTCAATGCAGAGGTTAGTCGGTGCTACATTCGTAACGTCGTTATGATTTAAAGCAATTTCTTAAACATGCAGATCATTGGAAGCTCTTCTGGAAATTTGACAAGCATCTCCTTCATTCAGTTTCATAAGACTCTGGAGTTAACTGGTTGTTACTTCATCCAAAAGCCTTGCAGGATCATCCACGAGATTTACTTGGCCCTTTTCTCAACTCAATGAGCATCTCTGCTATACCGAATTCTCCACATAAGTTCATCGTAAGCTGATGAAAGAATCGAATTTACAGCCATTAGAACCATAAATCTGAAAATGCTAATGATTCGTTCACTCCCATGTACCGTAAATTAAAAATGCATAAGTTAGCAAAGATAAATTTTTTACAATTTCTCCTCCGCACTTATTTATAGGGCTTATAGGTGCGATTTAGACTGTTAAAAAAGAAATAACTTTTATTGATGACAGGTCATTGCTATCCAATATTTACCCTGATTTATCGTTGTTATCAACTGATAACTACCTTCCGCTTTTGTCGATAATAAACGGTGTACGTAGAAACCTTTACGTAATCGCAATACTTTGAAGCGAATCTGCGAGAAGTGGTCCCCTTTCTGACTTATGTTTATTAGTTCGTTTATTGCTAGAACTGCAAATCGGGTACCACAGTCTCCTTAACCGAAGGTCACAGTTTCATTACTTTCCGTTTATTATATTACAGCAAGGCAGAAGCTTCATAATGTTGAAAAGTGCAACTATTCCACAGGAAACTTAGTTTGCTTTCGTCAGCTTATTTTGAACTTCGAATACTGGCGGTATCTTCGGATATTGCGCTACATACATGCATGTGCATTTTTTGAAAACTCCTGTTCCCAGGTTTGTACCAATCTAGACTCTCGTACACTTCTGATCTGTTTTAAACGCTTATACCGGAGCAACCATTTCATAATTAACCTGTGCCACTTCCACAGCTGATGTTGACCAGTTGCGCCACGTTTGGTTGACTAGTGTGTGTATACTATAGTGAACCATCAAGCAAATATCCTTGAATGGGTTTTATTCTGGTGGAAAACCTCATAGGAAGTGAATATCATAGAACAAAGCAATTGTATGGGATGTGAGTCTCTAAATTGTACCAAAGGTGTAGCTTTATCCCGATATTGCTAAGATAAATTTATCAGGGGAATAAACTATAGCAGCCCAGAACGGATGGATGACCTTGACGGATCTGTGTTCAGAGACTGGTTTAACGTGACAATAAGGACTTCTGGGAGGAATTGGGAGGTTTTCTTGGGACATTTACAAGAATATTATCCCAAATAACCATGTTTTAACATTGCATTACATGTATATAAACGTTTATTTCATATTACTCACTTCCACTTCTTACGCACCTGATTGAATGCTAGAGGTAGTTTCATTTTGGGCTGCTATTGTTTAGAGTCACCGATGTAGTGGTGCAAATATTTCTAAAAAGCTATCCAAGGAGATTTGGTTGGCCGTTCGTTTCGGTTGCTATACTTTAGTTTTGTCGTTTCGTAAAAATTGTATCTCTTTCTAAGTTCTCCTTTGTTCGTTCTTTCCGAATAAATCATGAAGTTTTTGCTGCACGCATTGCGGTCACGAGCTAATGCACTAATGTACATCCCTCCTGATGCATCTACTAGGAACTTCTTGATAAACAAAGGGTTTATTTGTTGTAATTCTCCTTATCATCACTCGATTGATTATTCTCTCTAGCTTTTTGGAAGTCGTTAATGTGTGAAATTCTCTGTGTGACATTTGAAAGCCGAGTTTACATCTGGGTTGTGAAGTGTAATTAGGCTAGTTCAAAGTGTAAAACTAATTTCTCCGATTTAATGGGAGGTTGTCCATCAATTCAAATGATTCATGTTCCGTAATTACAAATCTACAGGTGGATGCAAAACTTTGAAAATTCCATCTGTTACCAAAAGGAATGAATTCCGAGTTTGATTTTATACGAATCAGCTAGTTATCAGGTGTATTATTTTGTAGATATATTATGTAAAAATGTGTTTCATCAGTCACAAACCTTTACACATACCACAAATTATTCACCTAATGGTGTGACCAGTGGGTTAGACTGTAAAAAGTAGTTTATAGAATTCTCTTACGAATTAATCAAGCTTGATAAACGGATTTTGAGAATAAATTTAGTAATCGCTAATCGACTCTGGGTTTATTTCAAATGAACATCTGGTGGCTGAGTATTCAGGGAAGTCAAGTTCGAAATATTTCAATTCAAACTTTTTTGTTTAAATTACGAAAAGATTTAGATATTAGTTAGTCAACCAAGAGGGGTGGGTAAGACTTCAGTCTCAGAACCAGTGTATTATTACAATAAGTATAGATGGTATAGAGCCTCGTTTTCTCTGCTACCCATGCATGTATACACGCTTCTCACGAGTGGGGGGGGGGGGCTATAATCGTGTAGGAAAGGTCAATAGGCTAACAGTTGAACCAAATTAAATCTCAGTCTTGAACTATGTTAATCTCATTATCCAGACGACTAGTTATTTATTGCTGTCTATATTTGTCAGTGTATGACAGCAGTTTATTTATTCTCGAATCAATCATTTAGGAGAGATTCCAAGTCGAGTATGGTTTGCCTTTGTGTAAATCATCCAAACTGTTTTCACTTTAGTTTCATCTGATTACATTGCTGACTACTTTTCTGCCGAATTTATTCTTATTTATTAATGAATATTTTATTGAATTAAATTTGCAAATGTATTTGTCGAATTGCACTGAATATCCTGAATTGACCAGATGCTCTGTCAGTGAACTATATACGCGTTTTCGTTCTCCTTTTACTAGCCAGGCTGGATTGTGTTCACGAGCGCGTTTTTCAAGTTAGCTCATGGTACGGCCGATGTACTCAGCTCCGCACGAGCAAGTAAACTGGTATATGCACGTTGAAGTGGCCCAATGCGACAGCTTGTCTTTCGCATTCTGGCTGAACAGTTTCTTGCAGGAAAACGTTAGTCGTAGGCTTGTGGCGAAGTATGTTTTCCTCAGAGATTTGCAGAGGCGTTTACGAAGGATTTCTGCTTCAATGTCACCTTTGAATTCTAGATTAAGCAGAAGTATCTTCTTCAGGACAGATTGAACTTGTTCGGAAGTCTTCTTTGATTTGAGATTATTGTCTATGAACCTAGGCGGAAAGCCGTTTTCCATCAGGGTTCTTCGGAGATTACGCAGTTCTTCTTCAATCACTTCCTCGCTGCATATCTTCCGAATCCTCGAGGAAAGAGCGTATATCAGCTTCCTCTTTCTGCTTAGGGGCACGAAGCTTTGAAAGTTGATGAATTGTCCATTCCAAGTAGGCTTTTTGTATATGGATCTTTTCAGAGAGTTGTTGGCGTTTCTTGTCAGCTGGACGTCGAGGAAGTGGAACATTCCGTCGGATTCAGTCTCAAGTGTAAAGTCGATGTTTGGGTGGGCGTTATTGAAGATTTGAAGTAGGTTTTTAAATCACAATTCGTCAGCAATCAGCAACAGCTCGTTGGGGCTGATGCAACTTCCCAAATAAGTGAAGTAATAGATATCGTATTGTTCGACAAACTCTTAGGTAAAATCTGTAAAAGTATAGATATGCTATAGGTCGTCATTTCAATGAAATCAAAGTACAATTGATGACTAATTACTAGTGTCCAATGAAAATACCCACTACAGTCCTACAGGAGGTCAATCGCGAGCCAGCCCGAATAGCTCAGTGGTAACGTCTCTGACTGCAGTACTCACTGGGTGACGCCGGTTCGAATCTCCTGAGAAGGGGCATGAGTTCCTTCAAGTTTGCAGATACGCCTTGCTGACGAATGTCGTGCTAGCTAGCACGAAACCTAGGTCCAAAACTTCTTGTCGATTGCCTCCAACTATCTAATATCATCAAATTGATGACTTCATTTTATGTTACTATACTGAAATGCATTTTAAATTATGAATTCAAAACTAAATAGCCTCTGTTAATTGATCATGACATTTTATGTACTTTTACTCTGCAAATTTGTCGTTTTTGTTGTTTATTTTAACGTCAAATTTCTTTTAACCACAGTCTCATGGTTTGACAGAGTCACCTTTGCAACGTTTTAAAACTATCCCTTCAAATAACAGTCTTTTGCTTTAAGTAACAGTTCAAAGTAGAGGTCCCGCTGAAGCTGTTCCACTCACACTTTATTTATGTTATTCATTCGCTATATGATTCGCTTTCAAACTCATTATTTGAATATTCATTTGTATGATTTAGGCAAATATTTCAAAAAAATTTTAATGTTTTAATCTCAGGATGATATAAAGGAGTTATTTGATTCACTTGTGGAGTGTAGATATTTGGCACCTGTCTAATTTTGTCCCTTGATCTACTTATCTACTTACTGGTCGATATACAAAGTGAAGAAGCATATACACAATTTCTGTTATGGAAACAGATAAATATACATTAGTTGTCCGGAATCTTCAGGTGAGCAACGATTGCCCCTTTTTTTTAAAGCATTCATATACTGTGTCAGATATTTATTTTACTTTCAAAAATAACTTCACTCATTAATGTCTCCACTTATCATAAATGAAAAAAACACAGACTTAGTACATTGTAGGAACCAAGAAATACGCTGCGTAAATTCTCATGTTTTGTCTAGGGCTTAAATACTTACTCCCCGGACGCCTAGACCGAAGCAAGTTAGATTTTCTTGAGACACCACCCCATCTGAGTCTTTGATTTTGAGGTCTGATCCATTAGGTAGGTAGTGGAGCAGCGTCATGAGCTAGGTTTCCATGGTTACTGATAACCAAGACAAGTTCATACTCCATCCGATCCTTTCAGATTGTGGGGCCGATATACATAATAGGTTTATAATCAGGGACTTCCAGCTTTCTTAGGTAGAGTAGCATACTCAGCTGTCAGGTTGTAAGCGCGAGACGTCGGCAATCGCCACTTTACTCATTCTATCTGTCTGTCTGTTTTCGACATAGAACTTTGCACATATGTGCGGCAGTTCAAGTCGCCACACTCCATGTACCACACAAAGCAAGAGAAGAAAGTAGGAGAAAGGCATATTAGAGACAGTAAACAGAGGTGTGAGACAAAGGAATAGTAATAACGAAGAACAAAACAGTTTCATTGAAAATCATAAGTCACAAGGAGTGGATGCATCTGCGCCACTGAGAACGATTTTGAGCCATGTCACCAATTGTTTCCAACCATTGGTATTTACCGTCCCGAGGACCTCAACCAGTCAGAAAGCCAGTCTACACCTCCCAACGTGGCCTAGACTAACTGTTGTAGATTTCATTGACTGGTGCCATGTTTTCGTTTGACCGGCGCTAGCTCTTTTCCAACCTGACCCTATATCAGCTAACATTGCCCGTCGTCGAGGAAGGCGATGACTAGGCATACGTGACACATGTCCTAACCATCTCAGTCGATGTAATTTCACAGTCTCGTCGATTGATTTCCCCTCCTTACCTAGCACTCGACTGATGCCAATTCTCAGTATTGCTCACCTTATTATACCACTTCACACGGGAGATAGAACGCAGACAAGAAGGCAATGATCTGGACTTACGTGGCAGAGGTTATTAGCGCATGATCACATGTGAGAGCATTTCGAAAGGAAGATCGAAGTCTATGTACTCTTGGCTGTATCATTTCGATTATGGACGACTTGACGCGCGCATCAGTAAATAACAATAATATTTATCCTTCAGAAGCGCTTGATGCTAATGCAGTCTTTTGTAGGAAGTGATGGGAAGACAGTCAACACCGTGAACATTTTTCTCAAGTGTCATCGAAATTGTCATAAAGTGACTGATTCCACCGGCTCTATAAATTGTGGCAGATTTATAGACTCATTTATTTCATGACCGACTAGAGGTTTTCTTAGTGATCCCAAAAACTGATGGGCAACGAAAACAGCAGGAGTGGTGAAAGCGTAGCACCACATTATACTCATCAGCTGCTTAGATGTATTAAATTGATAGGTCACCGAAAGACGGGTGAGTGAAACGATATCTGAGAATGACTTTGAAGATCATTTCAGCAGATCCACATCCGGAATACATAAGCCCACCATCTCAATGTAACTGAATTGGAACGCAGACACCAGTCGTGCAACTTAAGTTACGTTACTATGGCTGTCCGTGATATAAAGCGGAGCAGATAAGCAGAAGGCGAAAAGTTTGTTTACAGCGAAATGCATCGGTGTCATCTTTCCATAGAACCACTCCAAAATCTTTTCCAATTTGATTCCTTTTTTCACTTTAATTTACTTGTTAAGAAGAGCAATTGCTCAGTGTGCCTACCACATGTTCCAGCCATCTCAATCGGTGAGGCTTCACGATCCCCATCATTAATTAACACCATAAAACTAGTGTCTTTTCCTTCCTGTTTCCAGTGGAACATAGGGCTTCAAGCTAGAGGCTTGAAGTTTCTGTAGCAGTGTTTACTTTTACAGGATGAGGTTGCTAGCCTCATGCTCAACCTTTCCTCCTTACCGGCGTTTTATTACTAGTTTGGCGAGGTAAAGGAGTGCGTCGGTCGGGGATCGAACCCCGAACCATGTGCATGGTCGGCGGGCATCCTAACCACTGTGCCACCGACACACTTAAAACTAGTGTCATTATTGCTAGCTCTATAATTCTATCTAACATGAAAGATTTCCGAGTGGGCATTGATGGTCAAAAGCTGCCCAGTTAGTTAAGTTAGCTTCTTCTCTGTTGAATAAATGCTTGTGCTTAAGCATTTTTAAAAAAACTTGCTAATATTTTTCTTTTTCTAGGAGGTGATCGGTGAGGATGATCTTCAAGTTTTACTAAAAAAGCAAAATCCAGCCATGGCTGTTTACTGGGGTACTGCTACAACTGGTCGACCACATATAGCCTATTTTGTTCCAATTCTTAAACTGGCTGATATGCTTCGAGCAGGCATTAAGGTGACTGTACTCTTTGCTGATTTACACGCCTACTTGGATAATATGAAAGCTCCATGGTCTTTACTACGTCTTCGTACAAAGTATTATGAAGCTGTTATAAAGGGAATGTTTCGTTCTATATGTGTACCGTTAGACCAGTTACATTTTGTACGTGGAGCTGACTATCAGTTGACTGAGTAAGTGTATGTATCAGCTATCATTCATCTCGACCTTTTTCATATGAAGGACCCAGGAAGTACTTGACAGCTGTTTTGTCCTGGTTTTGGACTCTCCAATAGGATGTACCCGCCAGGGTTCGGATCAGTGACTTTTCGGTTACAACGCGAGCTAGTAGACCGTTCAATCACTTGGATCCGGTCCAGTTCACCATGAATGCCAGATTCTTCAAATTCGCGATATATGATTCAGTCATCGGTGAATAAACTGTCCTGTTACCTAACTTAGTGGGTCCCATTGAAGAGTCCCAAATTAAGAAGAAACAACTGTCCGGTACTGCTTTGGTTTCCAATGGTTCAATCAATCTGACGCTCACTAGCGACTGGACCTATTCAGATGGGTAGTTACCAGTGTTCTAGTGGGAAGTCGTGACTAGTGGGGTACAGCCGGTCGGGTGTGAGGACAAACACTAGCTACCGATTACATTGGTTAGTACCAATCGTGCTCTGTCGTGAATCAGCAGAAGTTGGGATTCATAGGTTGGCTATTGGATCGGGTCCCAGTCCCTTAATGGTCTATTAACTCTCCCTGTAACCGGAAGGTCCTGTGTTCGAACCCTTGTGGTGTGGGTGAGTACTGATGAGGAGTCCCAAGCTAGACTGACGAAACAGATGGCTGTCCAGTACTCCCAGATGGTTTTCCAATAGTTTTCCAACCGATGTCAGCTCATCATGATGAAATCCTGTAACCAATCAAATCTCCGGAAACCAACGTTTTCATTTGTCTGTTGTGTTTACACGTAAATATAGAAAATACTGGGATATATATATATATATAATTCCATCACGTTCCCAGTGGAACATATGGCTTCAAGCTAGAGGCTTGTAGTTTCTGTAGCAGTGTTTATTTTTACAGGATGGGGTTGCCATCCAGCCTCATGCCCAACCTTTCCCCTTTACCAGCTTTATTTCTGGCTTATCAAGGTAAAAGAGTGCGTCGGTCGGGGATCGAACCCCGGACCATGTGCATGGTCGGCGAGCATCCTAACCACTGTGCCACCGACGCACCACTGGGATATGTACTCTTCTGGAAATGTGTTAATCGACTTTGCTTTGTTATTAACTAATCACTGGAGAATATGATAGCTAAATATAATTAGTGAGCAAATATAGAAGTAACTTATTACAATAATAAACTGTCATTCAACATTGCAAGCGATAAGTGCACTTTTTTCCGAGTCTTTGTCATGCGAATATTATGGGATTTCTGTTATAACCATCGTTTTGAAACGTTGGAACATGTCATACATGTGCAGAAGTTCAACTGTGTATGGCGTAAGCACCTTAGTTGTGGGTTCAATCCCTTTCACACCTTTTTGACCTAAAAATTAGGCTAATGTCGTAAGTCATCACACAAAGTGTAGCTCGTAGCTTAGTAAAAAAATAATCTATGATAAGGAATAAAGCCTTTCTTCGTGAAAAAAAGAAGTAGACTGGAGGTTGTTTATCGGCAGATAGTTTCCATCAAAATTGTGAAACAGTTATCAATTTAATTTAATTTTAGATTTTCCTGTCTATTGATTGGACCGAAGTGTTCGGTCTCAGGTTGATATGTCGGCTTCTTGTGCAGATGCTTCGACGATATCTGGGCATTTAATGAGAATTTAATTTGTAGATGGTGACTAGCAGTGGAATCCAGGACAACGCGCAATACGTCCTATTTGGGACTCGTCATCAGCTGGATGTACCTGCACCCTGGATTCCACTGCTAGTCACCATCCACCAATTAAGTGTGTGCGTCGGTGGCACAGTGGTTAGGACTCTCGCCGACCATGCACATGGTCCGAGGTTCGAGCCCCTGCCGGCGCACACCCGATATCTATGGTCGGCCTGAATTTGGGCTACCGATATCCATGCTGAAAATTCCATACTTGTACTGAAAATACGGTGTGGAATCAAGCTATAAATCAAAAAATTTCTCTATTATTCTTAAAAAACCCTGTTAGTTTTAGAAGCTCACTAATGTATAAGTATTACATTGTAGATTTCTCTACGAGTCAACATAAATTTTTGTCAACCACTGAGAACTTGAGGACGGGTTTTTCGTCCCAGTTTGGAACTTTTCATCAGTTTGTACCCATTACTCTGCCCCAGGGATCGAACGCAGGACTTTTAGGTTACGTGAGACTAGCTCGTCAGCCATTCTACGCCCGAGTTGCCCATAAATTTTTAACTTCTTTCAGTTTGAGATATAGAGCACCACTACCACCAACTAGCGTGAGTAATAATCATGCGTTCCCTCAACTGCCACAGCTTCTCATTAAAATTTCGGTATTTCAGATTTTAAGTTTTGTAAGGATTTAAACTGATTTCAATATGATCTTGTGAACTAAACGTACTGACTTCGATTTCTGGTCGAGATCATGGGTGGGTATACAGTACTGAATGAAAGAGGTCTCAAACTAGGACAAAATATTCAGTGCTCACTGGTTTTTATAGGTTCCCTTACGTGCTAACTTACTTAATTACGTTGGTTTGTGACGAGATATTCATTAAAATGGGGTCGAAATCCCTACCGAAAACCCAAAATTTGGTCATGATAATGAGTTTTATATGATTTAATTTTTTTTTGTTTACTTTTCGAAGAGTTTTTAATAACGTGTTGAGAAAAAATCCCCACAAATTTATATAAGTTATTAGCCAGAAAAATACCTCAGAAATGATAGTAGAACGGAAGAAGTCAAGAGACTTGGTAATGGACTTTTTATTAGGAAAATAATACACCATATACATATGTATATATTTCTGGCCACTTATAGGGGCGGCTAGTTCAGCGGATAATAAATCTTTTGATTGGTTGTCCATTTTCCGAAGGTTAAACCCTGAGGCATAAAGTTGTCCAATGAGATTATTTCCTAACCACAACGTAAGCCAAACCCACATTTGATGAATGAACACTTCTACTTATTTAGCTATTGACTTAAAATGTTGTTTTCAATTTTGGCTACCTCCTATCAGCCTGCGTCTACATACTACTGATAAGTCTTGTCAGTAAACAAATTCTCATACAATGGTGGAATAGCAGATTTTGTTCTCATTATTTGATTAAGAAAATAAATTCATGAGAAATCAGCCGAATATTGCTTTTAACGATGAGCAGTTTCAGCGGTACGATTTTGTCAGACTGACATTAGGATTTGACAAGCGTTCAGTCGTCATGATCTGTCTGTCTGCCGGTTTTCGACATAGAACTTTGCACATATGTGCGGCAGTTCAAGTCGCCACACTCCATGTAGCACACAAAGGAAGAGAAGAAAGTAGAAGAAATGCATAATATAGATAGTAAACAGAGGTGTGAGACAAAGGTATAGTAATAACGAAGAACAATATAGTTTCATTGGAAATCATAAGTCACAAGGAGTGGATGCATCTGCGCCAGCCATTGAGAACGATTTTGAGCCATGTCACTAATTGTTTCCAACCATTGGTTTTTACCGTCCCGAGGACCCCAACCAGTCAGGAAGCCAGTCTACACCTTCCTACGTGGCTTAGACTAACTGTTGTAGATTTCATTGACTGGTGTCATGTTTTGGTTTGACTGCCGCTAGCTCTTTTCCAGCCTGACCCTATATCAGCTAACATTGCCCATTGTCGAGAAAGGCGATGACTAGGCATACGTAACACATGTCCTAACCATCTCAGTCGATGTAATTTCACAGTCTCGTTGACTGATTTCCCCTCCTTACCTAGCACTCGACGCCTAACCCCAATATTGCTCACCTTATTATGCCACTTCACGCGGGAGATAGAACGCAGACACCTATGATCAAAGACAGCTAGCCATGCTTTTCATGTCTTCCACTCTCAATGGCCAGGTCTCAGAGCCATAAAGGAGGACGGAGCGGACTGCTGAGCAGTACACACGCCCTTTGGTCGATAGTCGGATATCGTGTCCACGCCAGAGACGGCGTAAACTGGCATATGCGAAACTAGCCCTCTGTATTCGTGCAGAGATTTCGCCAGAGATCAACCCGTTGGGGCTGATGGTACTTCCCAAGTAAGTGAATCGGTCAACGTGCTCTACCACTTCACTTCCTATTTCTAATCTTTTTTTTTTTGCGTCGGTGGCATAGTGGTTTGGACGCTCGCCGACCATGCACATGGTCCGGGGTTCGATCATCGGCCGACGCACTCCTTTATCTCGCTAAGCCAGAAATAATGCTGGTGAAGAGGAAAGGTTGGGCATGAGGCTAGCAACCCCATCCTGTAAAATAAACACTGCTACAGAAACTTCAGGCCACTAGCTTGAAGCCCTATGTTCCACTGGGAACGTAAAGGAAAAAAAAAAACATCATCTTACATTTTACAGGGGCGAATCGCATGCCAAACATACGAAGTTTGCAGCCCAGGGTGTTCAGAAGACTCTGCATTTTGTCAGCGTCCTCGCCTAGAGGGACTATATCGTCCGCATATTCTAAGTCGACGAGATTATTCCCCTGGTAACAAGTCAATCCCTGAGTCGCTGAAGTGTGTTAGGGTTAAGTCCATTAGTACGTCTATGATAAAGTTCAATAGAAATGGGGATCATGATCAATATTATTCGAGAGTTATTATCTAAATACATTTTCATTTCTTTATGATGTATGGTGTTACCAATAGGGCTGAAAATTAATATCAGTCATTAGCATCAAATTCGTCCACGGAATGAATATACACCTAAACGTATGAATTATCCATCCAAGAAGCAATCGATGTATTCACCAGATTGGGGGAGGGGGCGGGGTGGATACAGACTTTATTCCACCAAGTGTCTACAACTATTTGTTTCATGTTTGTTTACGCATTGATATCAGTTGGAGAACTATTGAAAATCAACAGGGAATACTAGACAAAACAAGAATAACAGTGGAGGTTTGTGCAGAATAAGAAGATGGTACCATCATTGTTTATTTCGTTGGCTTCTCATCAGCTCAGCTCAGCTGCTTGTGTACAGCCAAAATAAATTATGACGTTTATGTACAGAAAAGTTTTAACGTACTCGCAAATTTTGTTTTCCATGATGTCAGTTGACAGAATGTTCCGCAATTAGTGAACAGTGTTCAGAAAACTACGCTTACATAATCTTCGCAAAGGGAGTTCAAGTTTGAACAAAATAAATGTATGCATTCAATGGTAAAGGAGTTGCGTAATAAAGATGAGAGGTGAGTGAGATGCAGAGTGACTAATAAATTAGGTGACAATGTACTCAAATCATAGAAACAAGAAATTATTAGAAATTATAAAAGAGGGGTGAGATTAAAGTCAGCGATTACGTAGAGAGAATAAAGACATCCAGTTACCAGCCAGACAAAGGAAAAACTGATGATAACTGCTTCTTTCTGAACACATAAATCTGGTTTCAAGCGTTTGATAGAAATTGCTTCGGTAAACTTGAGGAGAATTGATCTCCTTTGTCTATTGATAATTTTAAAGTATTTCGCGATTTCCACCTGATGACCAGTATTGAGAAGATGTCTGGTAGTGGCGCTATTATAAGAATTTGCTCCTTTGAGTCCTGGTAACCGGATGTCGTTATTCACGCATTTGATTACGTTGCCTTTGCCTTTAACTTCACCCCTCTTTTATAATTTGTAATTTTGCTTGTCTCTTGTTTCTATGATTTGAGTTGAACTCAGTACATTGTCACTTAATTTATTAGTCACTCAGTAGCTTACTCATCTCTCGTCTTCATTACGCAACTCCTTTACCATTGTATGCATGCATTTAATTTGTTCAAACTCGAACTCCCTCTGCGAAGACTATATAAGCGCAACTTTCTGAGCACTGTTCACTAATTCCAGAATATCCTGTCAACTGACATCATGGAAAACAAAATTTGCAAGTGTGTTAAAACTCTCTGTATATCAACGACATAATTTATTTTGGCTGTACACAAGCAGCTGAGCTGAGCTGATGAGAAGCCAACGAAATAAGCAACGATGAGTAACATCTTATTCTGCGGAAACCACACTGTTGTTCTTGCTTTATTCATCAATGGGAATAAATGCTTGAAGAATACTAGACAAATTGTTTCATTCTGGTTTTTGAACTGTCTAGCATTACTCACTCACGACCCTGCTGGGGATGGAACTCAGGACCTTCAAGTTATAAGGCGAGGACAAAACCGAATAATGGCTAGGCAGGGAATTCTAAATTCTGTCAGTTCGCTCACGAAGAGTCCCGAACTAGGACGAAACACCTGTACTTAACCACTACCTGGCTTCATATAGTTTTTTAACTGGTCAAACTTGAAACCGATTGAATCCCTACAATCGAATGCGCTTGCCACATAAACTTTCTGTGGTTAATTACTGGTTCGTTTTTTTTTTTAATTGATTTGGTTGTACTTACCAGCAGTTACAGGTATTTCTTATTCCTACTATGGGTTTATTCACATTGTTGTTATTTTACGACAAGAAATATATGTATTCAAACTTTTATGGGGTTCAAGAATTAATTTTTTATGTTATATTACCAGAACTGTGGCTTATATTGGTCTAGGTGCTCTCGACATTCTCTTACTGGATCACAGTTTCGAAGCCGACTACTCCACCTACCGAAGTCTTGTGAAATCCAGGTATGATATCATCAGCCCTGAAGTAATAGGTGTGGGGGGGTGCATTGCCATCTGTGCATAGAATTGTAATTAGTTGCGATAAAGCGGATTCAGTTAAGAGGAAACAACACTATCCTGTTTGATAGTTGTTACTTTGATGTGGTCATTGGTGCTGCCGCATATCACAATGACCCAGCGAGTTATACTGGCTGGGATTAATGGTGATGAAGGTTCTACCATGCTAAGAAGGTCGTTTAGGTAGTGGTTAGACTACACCATGTTTTGGGGGTTCTATGGGCGAATTTGTACTGTTGGTTAATAGGGATGTAACGGCGGTAAGGCGTTTGTATTTTCTTCAGGAAACTAGCAAGCTAGCTAGACTGCTTCTCCACTCTGGAGAATGAGGTAGGGAGGGGAGGGGATAGATTAGGTCGACCCTGAAGATTGTACATTCTGACCTGCCTTGCGACTGTCCGTAGCTAGTGGTAAGGTCGTAATACAGAGGCACCTTCAAAGACCACTTCAAAAAGTTCTTGTTCAATCGGCCTTAAGTAGTTATCTCCTGGGCTATGCTGTCACACAACCCTAACGCTCCTTCTGTTCCAGATATTCGAAGACCAAATCAGCCTCTGTGGTGTGGGCAGTCAGGTAGTAGAAACAGTCTACGCACTTGCATTAGAAAACAAACCTTTCCATAAGATCTCGAGCAGCTCCACTAGGATCATAATCCGTTACACAGTACTTGTAACTTAATAATGTCGGGTTTAAAACTACTGTCATATTTCTAAGTTACATGCATAGCTTTCATGAGTACCTTGTTTATAACTAATACTATTATTATTATTGTTACTATTATCATTTAGAGAGTATTCTATCGATGTATATCGTTTAATGGCTTTAACCTCAGTGCATGATGCTCGTAAAGCAGGTGCAGAAGTTGTCAAACAAGTCAGTAATCCACTTGTCTCTGGACTGTTGTATCCACTGTTACAAGCATTAGATGAAATCCACTTGAAAGTGGATGCTCAATTCGGTGGAGTTGATCAACGGAAAATATTCATGTTAGCTGAAAAGGTAAGTGTGTATGTGTACGCCTTGATTATTCTGAAAAAGGACTTCATTACTTTTTATTTCGAATTTATTGTGTATTTAATTAATTTTTATTTGGAGTGTATTAGCTTACTTGGTTCCTTAAGTTGTTGGTGTGCAATTCGCTCCCGCCAAATGTGAGATGATGTTACAGGACTGGACGACACTGGACGACTCCTAGCTTAGAAATAGGGAGTGAAGTGGTTGGTGGAGCGTGTTGACCACTTCACTCATTTGGGAAGTTGCATCAGCCATTGCCGATGGGTTGATCGCCGACGAAATATCTGCACGGATACAGAGGGCTCGTTTGGCATATACCAGTTTATGCCGTCTCTGGCGTAGACGTGATTTCTGGCTATCGACCAAAGAACGTGGTACTGCTAACAGTCCACTCCGTCCTCCTTTATGACTATGAGACCTGGCCTTTGGGAGTAGAAGGCATGGAAAGGCTAGCTGTATTTGATCATAGGTGTGTGCGTTCTATTTCCTGTGTGAAATGGTATAATGGGATGAGGAATATTGAAGTTAGGCGTCGAATGCTAGGTAAGTGGGAGGAAAAATCAATCGACGAGATTGTGAAGCTACATCGACTGAGATGTTTAGGGCATGTGTTACGCATGCATCCCTAGCCATCGCCTTCCTCGACAATGGGTAATGTTAGCTGACATAGGGTCAAGTTGGGAAAGAGCTAGCGGCGGTCAAACCAAAACATGGCACCAGTCAATGAAATCCACAACAGTTAGTTTAAGCCAACCAGACACGTAGGGAAGTGTAGACTTCCTGGTTGGGATGGTAAAAACCAATGAAGTCTGGAGACAATTGGTGATATGGCTCAAAATCCTCGTTCTCAATGGCTGGCGCAGATGCATCCACTCCTTGTGACTTACAATTTCCAATGAAACTATATTACTCTTCGTTATTACTATTCCTTTTGTCTCATATCCCTGTCTACTGTCTCTATTTCGCATTTATTCTACTTTCTTCTCTTGCTTTGTGTGCTACATGGAGTGTGGCGACTTGAACTGCTGCACATTGGTGCAAAGTTCTATGTCGAAAACAGACAGACTTAAGTTGGATTCAGATAATTTGTATATGTGTTGAATGCCTCGAACCAGGAAAGCCCCTTTGACTGGCTAACATGCATGCCAGTGTAGACGTGGTATCTGGATATCCATCAAAGGATTTGTTTACCGCGCAGCAGTTCGCTCCATCTTGTTTATTATAACTGTGAGACGTAGTCGTTGAAAGTGAAGCGAAAACTGGAGGAAGCCAGCCGTCTTTAACTACACATGTTTACTTTCCATCTCTGCTGTTAGCTGGTGTGTTATGGTGTGTAATATTCACAGATGGAGTAGAGTATTTGGTAAGGAGGGAGAGTCAGTTGATGAGGCTTTGAAGCTGAATCGATTGAAATGGCTAAGGTGTTGCGCATGGCGACCTACCGCCTTCCTCGACAGTCGGTGGTTGCTGACATAAGATTAGGTCAAGAAAGAGTTAGGGGGTGGTTAAGCCAGAACCAATGCTCAGCTAAGAATGATAATAAATGAAAATATCAAATGGTGAATGTATTGTTTACTAGTTTAGTGTTTTGTACTCTACAATCGTGGAAACATATTTTCTGAGGGTGGGCTATAGATTTTTGATCATAATTATCTTCGTCAACTTACCTCTGTCTGTCTTTCAAGATTTGTTCACGTGGTGTATTTGTGAATCAACATCTAGTCAGTGTAATGCATGGAACTGACTGAGTTTTCAATGTAGAACTCTGCATAAAAGCACAACGGTTCAAGTTTCCATGTGTGTATTATTATTATTGTTCCCTTGGGTTCCTAGTGGAACATAGGGCTTCAACTGCACGTCTCCACTTGCTTCTGTCTTCTGCTGTACTTTTCACTTGCATCCATGTTATTCCATACTGTTACAATTCCTCTTCACACGATCTCCTCCATGTCACCCTTGGACGTCCCACTCGCCGCTTTCCTTTCGGGTTCCACTCGAGCTATGGCCTGACGCGCGATGTCACCCAGCGGCCTCCTCAGCGAGTGTCCAATCCATCTCCACTTTCTCCTGCATATTTGTTGTTGGGCGATTGTTTCTTGTTTTGTTTGTTCCCATAGTTTCTTGTTGATGATTCTTTCCGGCGGCCATCTGATCTTCAGTATAGAACGAAGACAGCTGTTGTTGATAAAGGTCTGCAACAGGCTGTTGGAAATATTCTTTGTGACCCGCCAAGTTTCTGATCCGTATAGAAGAACTGACTGACTTGACGTTTGTATTGAAAATCCGAATCATTTTGTTGTTGATGCAGGCTGAGTGACGAAGATTCCCAGATTGGTTTCAGGTTGATGAATGTGTTTCTCACCTTCCCGATTCTCGATTTGACATCCTCGTCCATTCCTCCTGTAGTTGAGACAATGCTCCCTACGTAGATAAGTGAACGAAGTAACCTCTTTCAAATCTCTCCTCCAATTGATGGTGATTGGCGCTGGATGTAATAAACAAAAATGTAAAGGACAAATAGTAATTGCGTGGAAAATAACGAGAATTCAATGAATCTTGGAGTGCATAAAGAGTAAATGCATCTACGCCGTTGAAAATAATTTTTGAGCTATGTCCCCGATAATCCGCAGTCATTGCTTGTCAGCATCTTGAGGACCTCAGTTACACATTCTACACTTTACGTGAGTCAAAATCAAACATCTAACGACTACATGGACTGATATCCGGTTTCGACATGACTTTCTCTGTCTCTTCTCTTCAACAACATGATTCAATGTCAGCTAATATTACTTGACAAGCAGAAATGATGTTCTGGCCATTTCAATCGGTATATCTTCACAACTTAATCGACTGATTTTTCCACTTCCACGTAACACTACGCCTAGCTAAGTTACTGACTGACTGGTTTCATTGTAGAACTTTGCACTTATGTGCACCAGTTCGAGTTGCCACACTCCCTTCATGTAGCACATAAAGCAAGAGAAGAGAGTACAGACAGATTCAAGAGAAAAAGCGTGAGATGATAAACAGAAATATGAGTCAAAAAGAAGAGTAATATGGGAGATCAATAGAGTTTTATTGAATATGACAAATCACAAAGAATGAATGCATCAGAGGGAACAATTGAGAGCGACTTTGAGCCACATCACCAATTGTCTCCAGACTTCATTAGTTTTCACAATCCCGGGGACCTCAACCAGTTAGGAAGTCAGTCTACACCTCCCTACGTGTCTGGCTGGCTTAAACTAACTGTTGTGGATTTCATTGATTGATCAAGTCATGTTTTCGTCTGACAACCACTGGCTAACTCTTTTCTAACCTGACCACATGTAAGCTAACATTGCCTGTCGTCGAGGAAGGCGATAGCTAGGCATGCATGTCCTAACCATTTAGATCGAAGCAACTGCTTCACAACCTCGTCGATTGATTTTCCCTCCCACCTACCTACCACTCGACCGTTGCCTCACCCTAAATTTGCCCACCTTATTATACCACTTCACCCAGGAGGTAGAACGAAGACATCTATGATCAAAGATAGCTAGCTAGTCTTTTCGTATCTTCCACTTTCAATGGCAGCCATGTCTCACTCACAGCCATAAAGGAGGACAGAATGAACTACTGAGCAGTACACACCACACACCCTTTGGTCGACAGTCAGCAATCAACCCGCTGGCGCCTTGGCTGATGCAACTCTCTAAATAAGTGAAGCGGTCAACACGCTCAGCCACCACTTCACTCCCTATGGTGTAAGGCTAACAATCCCACCCCCGTAAAAATGATACAACTGCATTTTTTTTACTCGTTCATTTTTTCCTCCCCATCATTGCATTGTTGTTATTATTATCTTTTAATAGTATCTACCTCATCTTGGACATAAGAAGAGAGTTCATTTAATGAATCCAATGGTTCCAGGATTAACTGGCGGAAAAATGTCTTCCTCTGAAGCTGATTCAAAAATCGATTTATTAGATCCACCGAATTCAGTTAGTAATAAATTGGCTTCATCTATTTGTCCGCCAAATATGACAGCTGAACAAGGCAATGGTGTACTGGCCTTTTTAAAATATGTCATATTCCCTTTAGTTCCAAAAAGAACAGGTAAATGCTCATATTTGGTTTCTTCTTCTTGTTCTTTTAACCTTTTAGTCGTCATAATATTTGATTCTATGATGGAGAAATATATTTAGACGGAGTTACGTAATCTCTGCATATATAGCTGTGCATTCAATAGTGAAGGATGCTACTTCGTCGTTGACACCTGGGTGTGTATGTGTGTGGGTGAAATAGAGATGTGGCAGTGGCTCATTGGCTTTATTCAGTCGACCATCAACCAACAGCGTTCACGATTCGAGTCCCACTCTGTCTACTTTAGAACGGTTAACTGTGGATAGTTTTATCAACTATTATGCGATGTAACTTCACGATAGCCTCATTTCTAAAAATCTATTCCGGTGATTATTATTATTATTATCTTTAATTCCTAGAGGAACATAGGGCTTCAACTGCACCTCTCTATTGCGTTCGGTTCTCTGACAACGTTTTCATCACTTGGCTCCACGTCTGCCCACATGCATGCTTTCGTCTCCTCTTCGCATGACCTCCTCTTCCACGTCATCCTCGCGCTGACGACCAACTCGCCGCTTCCCGTTCGGGTTCCACTCTAGGGTCTGTCTTGTGGTGTTACTTGATGGTTTCCTCAGAGTATGGCCAATCCACCTTCATGTTTTCCAGCTTATTTGCTGCACAATCGGTTCCTGCTTGGTAGGGTTGATTCGTTCATTGCCAGCGATCCCTCACTGTTGCCGATCTTTTCGGCTGGTCATCTGATCTTGAGTAGTATTGGGCGAAGACAGCTGTTGATGAAAGTGTGTAGTTTGTTCTAAGTGCGGCGCCAATTCTCTGATCCCTATAGTAAGTGGCACTGACTTCACACTGGAGTCGAAAATCCGGGTCTTATTTTTCATGCTGAGTGCTGAGTGTTGATCTCCACACAGACTTGAGAGTAGTGAAAGCTTGCCTTGCTTACCAGATCCTCGCTTTTATATCCTCATCAGTTCCGTCCGCCTGTAGTTGAAACGATGCTTCCCAAGTAGGTAGTTAGGTGAAAAGCTCAGCAATTGCGATGCATGCATTAGCACACAACCACACAATAGGGTGGGAGAGGGTCAGAATTCTAAAAAGTAATCTAGTTAGGTGGAGAGGGAGGTTGATTACTGAATCCTTGTTCATCGAATCTACACCCAACACATGCAATAGGAATGATTCATCACTCATACCGGAAATATGGAAAATATTACTACAAATCAAATCAAGTGAAAAACAACGGAACTATATAAATGAATTTAGGAAGTCAAGTGATTACCTTGATATGATTATGAGCAATAAATTGTGCTCGAAACGTCATCAGTAAACATTACTGTATAACACACTGTGAGACTTTATCAAAACAAAATTTACCCATAATGGAAGTAAAATAAACACAGTTTATTTTATAAGTTAAGTGCTTTTTCTTCTTCTGCCTTGTATCATACATCTTTTTTTTTACCGCTTCTCAGGATTATCGATCCCTCGAACTCCAAAACCATACTTTGATTATTCTCAAGTGGAAAAAGATTATCTTGCCAATAAAATCCCGGCTGATTCTCTTCGATCCATTGTCGCTGAATGTTTAAATGGTCTGCTAGAAACTGTTCAAAATGATTTTAAAGATCCTAGCCTTCAAAAACTTGTCCATGATGCCTATCCAACAGATGATAAGGCATTCAGTAATTCTGGTGAGTTCATTTTCTCTTTGTGTGTCTTTTTTTTCTTGAGTACTTACTTTTAGTCAAACTGTTCACTCTCCAGTCTTTCTTAACTGGTTCCTTAGCTGGCTGCATGATAGCCTGTAAGCTGCTCTGATTTCTTCATTACACTCTTTCGTAATAGATGTATGTCTAAAACTTGGGCACTGTGGTGGTAAGTAATTCCATATTAGTTTGTTTATTAGATATATATCACACACAGTCTGTGAAACAGTGTTATTATTGTTCACTGGATGACACAGTTTCGAACATAATTGCTTAGCGTTTCATAATCATATCACATCAATTATAATCACACAACTTCGAAACTTGAGTTTTATAGTTTTCTTTGCTCTTTCCTATTAGTCGTCGTATGGGTTGTAGAATTTTGCAGATGTTTGACTGGGCAGGTGTTGAATCATTCCTATTACACGTGTTTGCCTCAGTTGATTCGATAAACAAAGCCTCCGTTATCAATCTCTCCCTCCATTCTGTGACATTGGATTTTAAAACTGCCATCTTATCCCATCCAGCCTATTGTATGGTTGGTTGTGTGTAATTGCATGTAGTGAGTGGTATAGCTGAACTATTCTCCAGATGTCTTATCTTATTAGGGTCAGTTAATATAGATTTTGCTAGGTTTTTATGTCCGGCTAGTCTGACTGCACCTGTTCTACTACTTTGACCTATGTATTTGACCTGACAGTCATTGCAGGGGGGGGTATTAGATAAATTAAATTGTTTTGTTTTAGAGGCTTCACGGGATTGATCCGTTAACCGACAAAGCTTATTTTTAATTGAGTTTGTGGGTAGCTTGTATGCCAGCCACTTTCATTCCTGCCTTGTGAAGAATTCTGCGTAAGGTGGTTTCCGAGGTTCCTTCCTTCTATGGAAATATTACTGATGATTTAGATTCCTTATTGTTCGTATTGTCATTATCGTGCGCATGTTTGACATGCACGTCGTCATTAATATTATTACATTAATAATAATTAATCTAACATACTCCGTCTGCAATGATTGTCAGGTCAAATAGATAGGTCAAAGTAGTAGAACGGCGTGAGTCAGTCAGTCAGTCAGACAAGTGGAGCACAAAACCCTAGCAGCAAAATCTAGATTAGTTGACCCTAATAAGATAAGAAATCTGGAGAATAGTTCAGCTATACCACTCACCACATGCAATTACACACAACCAAGCATACAATAGGATGGAATAATATGAAAATTGTAAAATCTAATGTCACAGGGTGGAGGGAGAGATTGATAACATAAGCTTTATTTATCAAATCAACTGAGAGAATACATGTAATAGGAATGCTGCTGCTGCTGGATTCAACATAGAACTTGGCACCGAGGTGCAGCAGTTCGAGTTGCCACGTTCCAAATAGCACACAATGGTAGACAAGAAGATGAGTGAGGAGAATCAATAGAGTCTTGACAAATATAAGAGTGAAACAGAATGAGTAATGGTAGAAACGAATATGAAAGATTACAGAGACTGAATACATCTGCGTAAGCCATTGACAACGATTTTGAGCCATGTCACCTATTGTCTTCAGCCATTGATTCTTAGAGTCCCGAGGGCGGGCCCCAACCCGGAAGTCTGCATCTCCCTCCCTACCTGACTCAGTTTAACTGTCAAGGATTTCATGGATTGATGAGGCCATGTTTTTGTTTGGCCACCACTTACTCTTTTCCAACCTGCACATATATCAGCTAGTAATGCCCGTCCGTCGGGGGAGGCGATGGCTAGGAATGCGCAGCACGTGACCTAGCCATCTCAATCTATGTAACTTCATAGCCTCTTCGATTGTTTTTCCCTGTAATAGGAATGATTCAACACCTGTCCAGTTGGACGTCTGGAAAATTCTACTACCCCTATGACGACGAATAGGGAAGAATCAAGGAAACTATAAAACTCAGGTTTCGAAGTTGTGTGATTATAATGGATGTGATATGATTATGCAACGCTAAGGAATTATTTCGAAAATGTGTCATCCAGTGAACAATAATAACACTGTTTCACAGACTGTGTGTGATATCCAATAAACAAACTAATATGGAATCACACTTTTTCCTCCATATCACCTTTGGATCCACACCCAACTCATTGTTCTCTTCCTATTCGAGTTCTGTTCTACGGCGTAGTGTGTGATGTCATTCAACGGTCTCTATTTCACTGAGCATATTTGTTCGGTAATTGGTTCTTTGTTGATTGGTTGGTTGGTTGGTTGGCTGGGAGAGTTCCTTGTCGCTTATCCCTCCCAGCTGGTCATTTGGTCTTCAGTATCGAGTGAGTGGTAGATAAGAGTTGACTGACCCAATGTCTTCTCAGCGAAAGCTGTTGGGAATGTTTTTGGTGATGTGCACCTGCTAAGTTTATGAAAAGCATATAGAAGAATTGGTTGACTGAATTGACATTAATCGTATAAATTCTGATCTTGTTTCTTGTTCTAAGTGACGTAGTTCGACGCACTGATTTCAGAGTAGTTAATGCCTATCCAGTTGTTTTCCCGATCCTAACCAGCTTTATGGTATCATTATCCATGCCACCGATAGTTGAAACGAGACGGCTTTTAGGTGTGTCTTTTTCTCCAAGTCATTGTTGAATTTCGAAGAGTTCACTTACATCACAAGACAAGCCCCCGAGTGGAACCCGAAAGGGAAGCGGCGAGTTGGTCGTCAGTGCGAGGGTGACATGGAGGAGGTCATGTGAAGAGGAGATGGAAACGTGTGGGCAGACTTGGAGCCAGGTGAAGACTCTAGCAGAGAACCGAACGCAATGGAGACGTGTGGCTGAAGCCCTATGTTCCTCTAGAAATTAAAGGAAACAATAATAATAATAATAGAGAACTGTACACCTGTTGTAGTTTTACTTGTAATGCACAAGAGAAATGAACATGAATACTGTAGTTGTCTTGTAACAGCACCGAGGCAGAGTGTTGAGGGACACCTGAACACAGTAAATGTTAGCGAGTGAATCAGACTGAACAATTGTATACTTGTCCCTGGACTAGATGCCAAAAGAAGCTTGTTACAATATGGCGCTACACCATAATAATAAAACACCATAGATTAAAGGTAAAAGTATAAGTGGAGAACGGATAAAGAACTTCATCTGGAAGGAAAACAGTCATACTTAACAAGTTCAAAGAGTATTCGTCAACTATCATCGGGAAGGGAAGAAAGGAGGAAATGGCAACACGTTCGCCATTGATGACTGAGATTATTGGCCATACCCGATAACGTTTCGAGCCATCGATTCGAACTATCTCACGGACTCCAACCAGGGAGTGGTGACGCACCATCCGATGCCTAATCTAGCACAAATATCCTTCATCCCACGACGCCACGTCGTGGACTGACCACCCCTCCACCTTTTCCATCCCGTCCCAGGGCTGGCTAGCGAACAAAGACCTGTACGGAAGCCTCTGGGATGAGATTCGCAGCACATGTCCAAGCCACTGAAGCCGGTGTTTCCAGATGACGATACTCAACGAATGGTTATCTCCACTGTGTTCAAACACACGCCACCGAACCTCAGAATTACTCACGTGATGATGCCATCGAACGCAAGCAATCCTGCGGAGACAGCGATGACCGAACACGCAGAGCCGCCACACATCCTCAGCTTGGAGAGGCCAGGTTTCACAGGCATAGAGTAAGACAGAAAACACCGAAACATTGTATACTCGACCTTTGACAGCCAGGCTAATGTCGCGACGGTGCAAGAGGTGGCTCAAGTTGATGTATGCCACCATAGCCTTCATTATACCCCTCCGCCAGCACTCACACAACTACCCAGATACACAAACTTATCGACAACTTCAAGTGGTTCACCCGCAAGAGTGAGTGCAGGTACAGGCTCCTGCCAATCTTGTAACAATACTTTGCACTTAGACGGCGCAAAGCATATACCATACTAGACGCATGAGATTGCTTATATGATAACGTCTCTGACCACCATTGCATTAGGTGACGTGAGTTCGAATAATAGTCCGGGAGGTGGGACAAAGGTCTCCTCGAGTTTGGAGATGCACTTTACTAACAGGTGCCAACAAGCCTGGAACTTAAGTCAGACATGACGTCCCACCGAATGCCTCCATCTAAGCATCATCTTAGACCATTTTTATTGTTTCAGCCTTTCTGCATTTGATAATTTCATTTCATTTCCTTTTAGCTGGTCATGATGAGTTGACAATGTTCACAGATAAAAAGCCTACTGTCTTACAAGAGATCGAAGAGAGAATTAATCATATTCCCAAGATTACTGATAAATCTGCTCTGTTGACGGCATTTGAAAATGAATTCGTGGTAAGTCTTCAGTATTTCTTGTGTTTTTCTTTGCGTTTTGAGTGGAACATAGCGCTTTGAAGTTTCAGTACCAGTGGTGTTTATTTTCTATGGGGTGGGGCTGTCACGGTTACACCCAACCCCTCCTCTTTTTTTACCAAACTTACTACTACCGGCTTAGCGAGGGACAGGAGTGCGTCTGTTGGCCACCAGCTACCGAGCTGTGACCCACTTCCCGTGTCGTAGGTCGGCGAGGATTCTCTACGTAACTGTGAACCACCGTTAATCTAGAGTAATATGCCTAGCCATCGCCTTCCTCGACGACAGACGATGTTAGCTGACTGACATCGGATGGATTAGGTTGAAAAAATGAGCTAATAGCAGTCAACCGAAAATATGGCTTCATCAGTCAGTGAAATTTTTAACAGTTAGTTAAAGCCAGCCAGCCAGACACGTAGGGAGGTGTAGACAGACTTCTCGGTTAGGGTCCTGAGGATGGTAAAAAGCCACTGAACTCTGGAGACAATTAGTGATGTGGCCAGCTCAAAGTCATTCTCAATGGCTGGCGCAGATGCATCCACTCTTTGTGATTTATAATATGCAATAAAATACTATTGATCTTCCATATTACTATTCGTTTTCC